CCTCTCTATAAATATATATATAAAAAAAAGAAAAATAGGTGAATAGCTCTAATAATAGTTAACATGTGTTAAACACTATGAGAGAAACATTATGCTATGTCCTTTACATGGATCTCCCTTTATGCTCAAAACAATCTCATGAGATGGATATTATTATCCCCATTTTGCAAGAAACTAAGGCTTAGAGAAGTTAATTATCGCCCCCCTCCCCAGATTACATAATTAGAATCCTCCCCAGGATTCAATCCAGGCAGCCTAACCTCTAGCCCACTCACGCTTTTAACCACTACAAAGGAGCTGGTGTCAGACGAGATATTGGGAGGAGTGGGTTCGGAAAGGGTACCGAGGTGATTCCTTAGCTTCTCCCTGTGTAACACTAAAGAGTGCTACCTTTCGCTAAATTAAAGAGCACTGAGCAAGACCAGGCTTGAGGGGAAAGAGCATGAATTCTATTCTGGAAAAAGTGAGGTGGCTTTGAGGAACCCCAGTGGGGAAAAGCCTCTCGGAGGATGTTAACTACATAGTGGGATACACAGATCGGGACTGGACCTCAGAAGCAAGGTCTGAGACACAATTTCACAAGCCATTTGCATGTATGTGGCAACTGACGCTGTGAGTACAGGTGAGAAAGGATGAAGACTACAGACTAGAAAAACGATGCACTGGGATGGAGCTTCGGGCTTCCACGTGTTATGTCCAGAGAAAGAGAACAGTTTGCACGGGGCACAGATGGACCAACAGAAGTAGGAAAAAACAAAACAAAACAGGGATTCTGTGTCCCAGAAGCCAGGAGGGAAGAGAACGCTTCCAAGCGGAGAGAGTGGTCAACACCCTGGACTGCAGCTGAGAGGTCAGGAAAGGCAAGAACTAAGAGTCCCTTGGATCCAGTAGCCAGAACAAGGTCCACTCATGCAGGTTGGCTGAGAAATGAGTGGGAGGCCTGAGATAGGTCAGTGGGATTTTGTGTTTTGTTTGTTTTAATCAAAGAAAGGAGCATATTAAAAAACCTGATAGGAAAGATCCAGAAGATCCTTTAGGGGCAACTTGATTCTCCACTTTTTCTTTCTTTCTTTCTTTTAATATTTAAGGGTGTGTTTTTTAAGGTTATACATTTTATGTTTTTAGAGAGGGAGGGAGAGAAGGATTGATGTGAGACACACTGATTGGCTGCCTCCCGTCAGCGCCAGAGGGGGATCTAAGCCGCCACCTAGGTTAGTGCCCAGATCACATTTGAACCCGCGACCTTCCGGGGCCCGGGAGGGCGCTGCCACCGACCGCGGCGCACCAGCCGGGGCGATTCTCCGCTTAGGTTTGGGCGCAGGGGCCAGAGGAAGCCAGAGCCGCTAAACACAGCAAAAACACAGAGCTTTACAGTCACCGTACCGCCAAAGCCGTGGGTCAAAGGCCTCCCGCCGCTGTAACTCAGGGAAAGCAAGGAGAAGGGGAAGCAGAGGCGGGCGGGGCGGAGGGCGCGATCAGCCGCGGCGAGGCCGGGAGACCGG